TTTTTCTTTTCTAAACAATTACTTCTAGCTCTTTATTTATAATTTAAAGAATAAAAAAGAAGGTGAAAGATGAAAAGGGAGGAAGTTAAGCTTCTAAGCTTATACTTTTTAAAACAACTTACCAAATGAGGGCTGAGTAGTTTGAGGTTAGGCTTGAGATTAACAAGAAATTCCTGATCCCAAGCATGAAATAATAAATGGATTGTACCATCAGTGAGTTGCTTTCTGTTGACATCAATCAACTCATATTCCGGTACATCTTTATGATGAGATACAGCAAAAATTTGTTGCAATTCTCGTTTTGTTAGACGATGATGAAAATTCTGCAAATAATGTCATCCAATAGAAAGAAGTTTGTATGATTTTATCAAATAAAATTGAAAATGAATACTCTTTTTATGATAATGCTTTAATTTTAATCAATAAATTTTTAAGAATTTATTGGAATTAATTCATTCTTAAAATTTTTCCTTTCTTCGATGGCCGATTGAAATTAAACTTTTCAATGAACTCAAGTATTAAGTATTAAAAGTAAACTTCGTAATTTTGAGTGATCCAATTCAGGAATTGATTTACTCTATTTTCGTTTTTTTTTTGAAAGATAAAGTAAAGCAGAAGCCTTTCTATTACCCATTCAAACAAACTTTGGGCCATAACTGTATGTTCAGTTAACAGTACAAGGTGTATTCAATGAAATGAAATGGAATCCAAAAACAAACAAATTTAACTGAGGCCTTTCCATAAGTTTACACAATTTACACAATTACCTTTTGGAAGAAAAAAAAAAGAGAAAATAAATTGATTTCTTTTTCAACTTCAACTTCTCAAAAATTTCATGAGCAATCATTAGAGAGCTCATTTCATAGATTTTTATTAAATGTTTCATTTCTCTTTAAGATCACAGATCAATGATATCAAATATGTATTAATTATTTTCGATTCTTACGATTAATTGTTTAATGCAAAAATAGGTATTGAAAAGTAAAAGAAAGGTAATACAAAGAAAGTTTAAGTATAATAATTATACTTACCTGTACAAAAGTGATAAATGAAGAAAAAATAAAAGGATGATGATGCTACAGCATATGAAGCTGTTCATTCGTGAACGAACACTTCAAAATGTCGATCACTCGTAATAAAGGTTGATCTTTAGACCATTGATTGTGGATCTTTTAGAATCAGACCACAGATACAGAAGTAAAGTAATACGTCCCCAAGAGAGGATTTGTATACGTATGTATGATTGTCGTAAAATTTCCACTTACAGCAAAAAATATCATCCACCATTGGCTATTTTTGTTTCAAACAATAAAAATTTATTCCATCACAAGCATAACAAGAAGGATTAACAAATTTGCGTGATTCAGAAGGATGGATGATTGTCAACAAAGGATATGAAAGACCTGCTGTGCCGTAATAGTTATCGCTTCGATAATCATCATCATCATCATTATCATGAGCGGTGTTGTTATAGTCTGGACAACTTTTCGATCACTTCATTCAGGAGTCATATGAAAAGATCGCATTTGTCGCTGTCATTTGTTGTATGGTGACTACTGGTCATTTAGTTTCACGCATCGTTTTCATCTATTTTTCAACATTTCCTTTCTAGTAATAGATATATCTCTTTCTACCAATTCTTTCCTCCTCTGATACAGGACGAAGAGATAGGAAAGGCGGAAAGATGATGATAGTAAAGGAAGCAAAATGTGGAGATTTAAATTCGCACCTATCTTCTTCCGCAAGGATCACTGATTGACTTTTGTTGTCGTTTTGTGATCTCTGTACAAATATATAAATTGAAGAGTGGAATGATAGATAGATTTATCTATTCAATTTGCTTGTAAAATAGGTTGAACATATGTATATGCTCACGACATCAATGAGTACCTCTCCTGTTGGAACCAGTAATAGTATTACTATCGGAAGTTGTGCTCACATTATTGTTCCAAATGCGTATCTTTCTGAAACTTTACTATTGATTTCAGTTTTAATTTCTTTTTCTTTTTTTGTTAAACTAATATCTTTTTTTTCAAAGCGTGTTTAATTCAATCACGCTTTCTTCCTTTTTGTAAATTTTCAAATCAAGTTTCCTGCACAGGATCCGGATATTTAAGAGGGTATCTTTTAAAAATACAGGTTTTTTGCTCTTTTATTAAATGACCATGATTTGGAGACATTTGAAATGGAATGCTTGTATGATTTCTTCGCTATTGGCAAAATTTGAGAAATGGATTCCATTAATGAGAACAAGGATTCAACATAGTACTTTGATGAAATCTTCATGAGCACCGAATCTGCTAGCAATTGTAATTTTGCTACACAAAGTTTTTCAGTAAATATTAACGTAGAGCTTAATAAGCGTATCCTTCTTCAGATAACATTAGCTTCCCTCTTCACAAGAAATACCCCATAAATCGAAATTTAGAGAGAATTCACCTATTTCTTGAAATGAATCTGTATTGTAATGAAGTTGGAAGAGCAGAAGGCAAGGATCGAAGTATAATACCTTTCAAAGGAAATTTTAGTTCTTTGTTTTCTTAAGAGATGGACAAACTAAAAAGGTGAAACTATCAATGAAACATTCAAAAAAAAAAAAAGAATGACAAGAATGAATCATCAAACTAATTGATATATAATATGTGAATTTTAAAGATTAGTTAAATTTTGAAAACTACTAAACAGAACTTATCCTACTGATAACAGTGTTCAATGAAAGGGCATGAAAATTTTCTTCGATTTTTTCATGAATTCTATCATGGCAAAAAAAAAAAAAAGAAAAAGGAAAAAAGAATCTTACCTTGAAATCGATAAGATAAAACTTCTTCAATTTTCTTCCTCTTAAACCTTCTTATTCGAAAACTTTTCAATTGCAACCAGAAACTAACTAAAATAAAATGATTTGTTATTGGATTAAAGATAGTTTCAAAAAAAAAAAGACAAAAAAACAAAACACTGACCACCATTTTAAAATGTTCTTAGTAGATCTATTTGAATTCATAAAAGATTAACAACAATAATAAGATGCAATTTATATAGAGGAAATAATTATAATCATTTATTTAGAAATGAAAATATCCAAAATAATGAGATCTAACGTACAGCTTAATCAGTCTTCCTTTTATATTTTTGGAAAAATAAAACAATAAATGTCAATTTATGCTTCTATCAATTAAATATTTTCCAAGTTTGAAAAATTTTACCATAAAATACTTTTTTGTTTTATTTATTTATTTTCCATTAAGCATTTCTTTGGAAGAGTTAACAGGAATTAACCTTTTTATGAGACTTTCTCTTTTAACCTCTACAACAAATACAATGGACATCATGGCTTCTATGAAAAGAATCTATAAAAAAGTTCAAAGAGTTTAAAGAGATAATAAATATGCATATGAAATGTTTGATTTTATTAAAAAGTATTTAATTTTTACTTGAGTTATCTTTAATGATTCATAGTGCATTAAAACTAAAATATGTATTCAGTGATAAGAATTAAAATTGAAATAGAATTGACAAAAAGAAATGGCTAATAGTTAAAAATTTCAATTTCTTCTTCTTTAGCTAATAAATCTTTAAAATAACTTTCAATTAGAGCTAATGAATAAGCTAAAAAATTCCACATAACAAATAACATTTTAAAAAAAAGGCCTATGAGATTGGTGAATGGGAAAATTCTTCTTTACAGTTAAACTTATTCTCGTTTTATTTAAGTTTTCAATTTGAATTCAATACTTTGTTCGAATTACTTAATGCAATAACTTTTTTTTTTTAACAAATAAGCAGGTTGTTAACAATATATTTGGTTCATTGCTATCTAAAAAAAATATTTCCACTTAAGCTTAAGAGCATAAAATTTCTTTATCCATGAAGGCGCCTCCCTTTTCCTCTTCATGTAGCGGATTTCGCTTTTTGAAATTTTACTAGCCAGCTAATAAGGTTAAGGTAGATAATAAGGTTTTATGGTTAAGGTAGATAATAAGCACGCTTATCAAAGTTTGAAATATAAGTCAATAAGCAATTATTTCAACTAAACTCTAACTTGACTTTAAATAATTTGCTCAATAATCTGGCATATCATCAACTATATCAGTTCCAATGTGATAGTGATGTAAGTGAACTTGAGAATATTGAAAAAAGTGTTTAAAAAAAGTGAGCTTTTAGGAAATGTAAGTAGCAGCAAACAACGATCCTTTTCAAACAAGATCTAAAATTGATGCTAAATTCTTTGTTATATCATTAAAAATGTCTTCAAAACTTCTCTTATAGAGATATTTTGATTGAAAACCAAAATCTTCTCATCTTTTTGAATCATAAACTCCCCCGCTCCCCTGACTTCCCGTTGGACACGTTTTTGACGGGTGAATTATGCGTGTTGCTCTTATACAGATTGTCTCTCATCAAATGATTTAATTAATGCAAAAAAAAGTGGCTATTTTTAATGAGAGATTAAGTGTAAGAAATTGAAAATGAGAGATAAAATGAAAAGAGAATTTAAAAAGTGAAATTTACAAATTTGCCAAATTGCACGTTGCACAACTGCATGTTAACTTGCAAAATTCAGCTTGACTCATGCACTACAGATGACGTATGATCAGTAGGCAAAGGTCACTTTATTTGTCATTAACAGGAATTTGAATAATCAATCCTGTGATATTTAAGTCATAAAATATTCAAGAAGGAGGGAGAGAGAGAAAGAAAAGAAAACAAAACGAAAATGTATTTTCAATTGGTAAATTTGAAACGAATTTATTTTTGTCACTTCATTTCGTTGCAGAAATATTTTCTTCACTTTTAAGAATCAGAAAAAGATTGGAGAATGCTCCTGAAAAGTTTACTCAAAGGTCATTAGGTCATTTGCTAGCAACTGGTATTTTCAAAATTTCGATTCATTTTTTCGATTTGATCGATTTTTTTTTCCTAGAAAAATTTAGCCTCTTCATTTACCTTTCATTTCTTAATGCCATTGAATAGCAGTTGAAAAGAAGGCATCTCTGATTTTTTTTTTGTCACTTAAAATAATGTTCAATTTTAAAACTCAGAGAGACAGACGATCGTGATAGATGAAAGTTCTCTAAATTATTGAAATGAAATGGATTTTATTGTAACTCATTCACTGAATAATTCTTGTCATCTCTAATTTTAAATAGGCAAATCTATTCAGTATCCTAAACAGAGAAACTAAAATCAATCGTCATCAAGATTTTAGTATTTTTTTTTAGGCTCGAAATAATTTTACAAATTTTAAATGGGCGGATATATTGGATTGAAAAAAGAGTTCAAACTTGAGCAGCATATTGCTAAACTGGACATAAAATATGATTATATTTAGCGAGCACTTGGGAAAATAATTGTAATAATCGTCATTTGTGCTATATATATATGAGGCGGAGAAATCTAAATAATGTCCAGCAGTGGAGGTTCATTTCCGCATTTCAACCGATGAGATTGGAGAAAGGAGAGAGTAGAAACGGTAAATAGGTCGATGAGAATGATAAGCCACTTCCTGGCACCAATGGATTAGCTATAATCATCAAATTCTCCAAGCCTTCCATAAATACGAATATTTCTCTCTCCCTCCTCTTGCTGTTACAGGTGATTAGTACCGTAGATTTTACGGGTACAAAATCAACCAATCCAAATCCGAATCTAAATCTTCTCTCCAACTCTCACAATTTTATATTGAACAAGTGATGCTCATATGAGCAATAATTAAAAGTGAGGAAAAAAAAAGAACTTCCTTAAATATTCCTTCAAATTTTACCACCATCTGCGCAATTGTTCTTACGAGCCAACAATTTATCTTTTTTCCTTAACAACATAAATCATTAAAATTGTTCGATAAACATATCAGTATTTTTGAAGGGAAACGTAATGATGCACTTGTTAGTAACAAATAGATTCCCCTATTTTTCAAATCACCGGAAACAGAATAGCTATAATCGTTAATGGATATTGAAAAAAAAAAAGAAAAACTTGAAATGCGAACTTCCTGACAAAGGATGTGATGCAATTTAGCGCAGTGTCGCATAGTTTAGTTTCATGCGGAAAGTTCTCTTCAGAAAAATACCTTTTCATTTTTCAAAAATTGCTATAAATTCACTTTAAATTGTCAATTTAGCTAAATGTTGACATATATTAGCATGAAAATATTTTAAAATAAAAGAACAAATAGCTGCAAATGAAATACATTAACTTTTTGTTTGGCAAATAACTTATCTTCTAATTTTGATGAATTAAACGACTTTTGTCGAGGAAAGATTTTATAGTTTATTTTTCGTTATCATAACTTCGTTATGTTGATAGTAACATTTACTGATCTTATATGATATGATACAATATAATACTAAAATAATAATAGGAGCGAAAGGAAGAATATACAATAAATTTTAATGGATACCAAACAATCTTGTCAACTTGTCCTGCTAAACTGTCGCATTGCCGTTTCTCTGCTGTTGAACCATTGTCGAAATTGAATGCCTGAATGTATGTCATCTTGAGTGCTTTCCCGAGTTACCCAACTAAATGATTGAGCGAGTTGTCGGATTGTGAAATTACGGGAGTTGTCGAATTGGGAGATCGCGGAAATTATCGGATTAAGTGATTGCTCGAGCTTTTTTGAATTTGTTAACTGATCGGCAAGATGACTAATTCCACCTTCTTGTACAATGAGTTTAACATTCTAGATATACTAGCTCAACCAGACTGGAAGTTTTGAGATTTGTACATAAGTTCTTTATAAAATTTCGACAATTGTATGTAAACTTAATTAACAGATTAGAAAAAAGTTCGCAACAAAAAGTTCTATCTCAATATTTAAGCATTGTAATTAAGATTGATTGAAAAATTGAAAGAGTTAAATTTACATAAATGATTCATTCATTTTAAGTATTCAAATATTTGTTTTATTATTTTTTCCATTAATTTGATTTAATTCAATTTTTTTATTAACTTTATTTTATTATTAATATTATTAATTTCATGTAATAAATCATTTGTTTGGGGAATATATTTTGAATTCTAATTAAAACAACTCATAACATTTTTTTCAGCTTTTTTGATGATAATTTTATGACTCATTAAGTGTCATCCCATTGTCAATGAAATGAATTGAAATGAATGGAACATAAAAAATTATTATTTCAGTCAATTCAATCAGTTATTTAATAACATAAAAATAAGGTCTCTTACATTCTAATTACCTTTTACCTCAATTTTCCTTTCTGTCATAGTCATATGACAATCGTATCATCTATTTTCTGTGTGATGAATGGTTGACACATTTCCATTTGAACTTGCATTTTATGTAGTATGACAGGCAATTGTGGAAAATTTCATAATATTTAAAGAGTTGACTAAATGAGTGGTTTTGTTAAAGAGATAAGATCAAATGTAACCTTGTGACCTTTTTCTTCGTTCTTACCTTTACCTTCATTGCATCTAACTTCAGATTAATGAAAAGTCTTTATTACATTAGAATGAATTATAGTCTTACAGTGTATCTTTACTTAATCATATGCTAGAAGAATTTACTGAAATAAAAAGCATTTGGTAAGGCGTTTGCAAAGTTGCA